ATATATATATATATATATATCTTTAAAAAATGTCTGTAACAGTTTGAAACAGAAAGTGCATTGACTCACTTATTGCTCTTTGGAAGACATCTGTGTGGAGCTGAGTGTTGTGGAATAAGGTCAAAGTGTGGTGGGGTGCAGTGGTCCAGGAGTGCAAAACAGCAGCAGTTGGTCCTCGGCAGGACCAGGCCTCTCCAGCCTTCTGTGCGCTGCTTCCTGTCAGGATGTGGATACGGTTCCCCCACACAGAATTTGATCCCCTGGCAGATGTGCTGCTCCAGCGGCCGGGCATGGGAGCATATACTGTGTGTGTGTGTTTGTGTAATAGTTATTCGTGTGCACCGCATGAGTGTACCTGCCTTGTGAGATGTGGATGCTTAGGACTACTTTTTGTGAGTTCATGGAGTTTTTAAACACCGTCGATACATTTGGGATAATGTAAGTATGCCACTCAACAGAATATATAACATCGGTGTAGTCACCTTACACATTTTAAGGTTACATATTATACTTTTAGTGTGCTTTAAGAATTGCTACTTTTGAATTATGATGCATGAATGAATAATACTGTTAATGATGTTGTGTTGGAAATTCAAATTATATCGCCCTAAAACATATCTGGTTTTAAGTTAAAAAACCTTAAAACAACCTTGAGGAAAACACTCGGCAGAGGTAATGTTGTGGTGGCGCTATGGCTGTAGTCTCTCAAAATGTCTGTAATGGAGCCCAGCATTAGTCAGTGGCTTGTGGCTTTTTCCAGTAAGTCCAGACCACATGGATAGATAGACAGAGTGTGATATGAACTGATGGCCATTGTGGATAGACATTGTTTAAAAAAAAACATATCTTGAACTTGACAAGAGCAGGAATAGAGAAGATAGGATTGAGTTAGTGTGTCGGGATGAGTGTCACACACGTACACCACACTGTGATCGATACAAAGCCTCGGTTTCATAACATGCCAGCATCCACACTTGTTCTGTGTGTGTCAGTTTGTGTGTGTGTGTGTGTGTGTGTGTATGTGTTTCATTGTATTTTTTTATTATTATAGGTAAGTTTAAATACTGCATTGTTATTGTGTAGTTTGTATGTTCTCCCCGTTTCAGCATGGAGTTTTGTCCGGGTTCTCCGGCTTCCTCCCACTCTCCAAAAACATGTAGGTTGTGTTGGATGACTCCAAATTGCATGTGCGTGTGAATGTGAGTGGAATGGTTGTCTGTCTCTATGTGTCAGCCCTACGATGGCCTGGAGGCCAAGCAGGGTGTACCCTGCCTTCGCTTTATGTCAGCTGGGATCGACTCCCCCCCAGTGAGCCTGAAAAGTATAGAGCGGTTACAGATCATGGATGGATGGATATAATAATAATAATAATAATAGTAATGTGAATATAATAAATACTGTACAACTATACATAAAATGGTAAAGATGAAAATAAGTATGGAAACAAGGAAATTGTTTTTTTAAAGAAATGAACATATGTTTTTTATGGTTTATCTTAAATCACTGGTTTTCTTACCCTTTTATGTCCAAGATCTGACGTCTCTCTCTCTCTCTCTGTTCTTGGTATTCATTGAAACATGGAAAAAGTCAGTATGTCTATGTG